ATTATTGGATCCTCAATGAAAAATGTGGATTGTTCGAGTTTTCCCTTTGGTGTGCTCGACGGGACCATCTGATGTAGCTTGTTTTCGGGTGTTTAGCATCTAGTGGAAGATGAGCGCCTCGAAGCGTGATATTTCGGGTGGTTCTACCACACCGCGCCCGCTACTGGGGTCATCATAGGTGGAGAATTTCAACTTGCTAAAGCGGGGAACACCCAAGCCCATGTCCATGCCGTCTACTAGGGTCGTCGGTGCAATGGGAAAGGATGGTCTCAATGGGAACACCAACAGGTTGGGGAGTGGGGATGGTGAGTGTGGGAAGGGAATTTGATGGATGAGCAGGGGCGGATTGGTGGTGGGTAGGGTGGCGGGCGACGCATGGGGGCGGCGGATAGGGCTGTCAGAATGTTGTCATCCCACACCCTGGCAGGTCGTATGTATGGGGGCATGGTAGGCAGAAGGTGGCAGCTACTAGCCCTCCATGATGTCAAGCGGGAGAAGAGGGCCTCCAGTTGTTGTGCGATTTCCGCCATGGTCTTGGCACTAGAGGCGGCAGGAGGGCTGGTGGCACCGGTCGCTGCAGGTCGCCATCATCAAAACCGAACATCTCTGATACCAGATTGGAAGAACCCAGCGATCCGATGAAGGTTCTAGAGAACATAGTTGTGGGCAACTGGAGGCTAGGGCTTGAACTCCCGGTGGCGTGCAGGAGCCATGAGGCGAGCGCAAGGGAGAATAGAGAGAGAGGCCAGGAAGCCCGGCAAAGATTATTGCCTTCCTTCATTAATTCCATCATAGTTTACAAATACTTATTCCCTGACCACTCAAACTCAGTCTAGATCTTAATTCAAGGAGAAAGAAAAGGCAACGGTAAAAAAAGGCAACAGTTAACATGTGTTTGATTGAGGGGTTGAAGTGGGTATGGGATGGGTTGGACCCAATTGTGGGAGTGTTTGTGTCGGGTTCATAAACCCTGGGTCCCCGATGGGCCCGCTTCCCAGCAAAAGCTCAGCCCAGTAAACGGCATTACAACAACGCGTGACTCCTGGGCTGGCACAGTTACCTAACGACAGGCTGGAAGAGCGATCCATGTCTCCGACCATAAGGCCGGGCCAAGGAGGGCACAATGCTCGCTTCCGACTCCGACTGGCATCTCTGACCGAGAGGCCTAGCCAAGGAGGGGACAACACTCACTTCTGACTCCGACCCGCGTCTCCGACTAGGAGGCCTGGCCAAGGACGAGACAACGCTCGCTTCTGACTCCGACCCGCCTTCCGACTGGGAATACACCGAACCTCTGCTTACGGCTCTTCTCCGACCTACGCGGTCGGAGCCGACTGGGAACGACCGAACGGGGACGCCCGCTCAGTAAAGACCCAAGAATCAGGCGGAGCAGATAAGGCAATGCACTCAAGTCAACCGCAATACCGAGGACCGTACCCTGCATACCTACAAGACATAACTGTCAGGCCATGCTAGAAGGGTGCTTTACAACCTTTCAGACAAGTCAGAACACGAACAGTGTTGTGGGCGCCGACATTTGTCCTACAATATGGTAGGCACCGACGTTTGCCATACCAGAAGAACACGATGGAACCTACCACATCCATCTGAGCATCAACAGTGTTGTGGGTGCCGGCATTTGTCATACCAAGCGAACACAGTGAAGACTGTCACATGCGTCTGACATAAACAGTATTGTGGGCACCGACAAACTGTCTTGTACCCGACGACGTGGGCAACAAGACTAGAAAACTCTCTCTCTCTCTCTCTCTCTCTCTCTCTCTCTTGTAAGGCTATCCCCTTCACCTATAAAAGGGGATGCGCTCTCTCCTAAAAGGACGAACGATTCGGACGAACAATTCATTCGAATGATCCATTCCGACTCTCGTTCTGCTAGGCTCTAGAACTCTAAAGCCACACAGAGTATACGTTCCTATACTTAGCGCACGTTGGAGCTCCCATCACTCTTGGCTCTTTGATCCAGAGTCCGACCGGACCTCTAATACCCCCATCTTATTCCCACTTGTTTGTAACCCCACAGCAAACTTTGAACACCTGAGCTCAGGAATAAAGTCACCGACCGACTAAAATCGGGGATGGATCCAACCCAAGTGGTAACCACATCCGATCCGTGTCTCAAAACTACAAATATTTACGTGTTGGTCACTTTTCGCACCGACGGTTTGGTTGGAGGAGCAGGGGGTTGGGTTCATCCCCTAAAGGTAATATTCTCGTTAGGTGCGGGTTGGCCCAGTTCCTCCAAATCGAGCGGACTAAGACTTCGCGTGAGCACGAAAGAACGAGCAGAGGCTTGCATGCCCGGCATGCACTACTAGAGGCACGGGGCGAACGCGCGGTCCTGGCATGTGCGAGCAAGCGCCAGGACAAGAGCATTTCAAGGGTTTTCAATGGATGGCACTTCCCAAAAAGCACATGGGCTATTTTTCAACACTCCTAAAATAGAATGAGGAGAGGAAGAAGGAGGGCATAGCGACTGATGTGTGGGGCCTATGTGGCAGGGACCTCAACCCACGTCCCATGTGTCTCACACCAAACAAGAAATGGGGACGAACCCGACCCACACAATCAAACAAGAAACTGGTTCACTCCATTCCAAGAAATCAGGGATGGATCCAACCCAATAACCCAGGAAATCCCACAACCAAACTCAGGCTTACATGCCTAGTCTATCTAGATTCTAATTCAAGGAGAAAGAATAGGCAACGGAAAAGAACGGGCACACTTGCATGCCGGCATGCACTACTAGCCACGGATGCGGTCCTGGCATGTGTAAGTGTGACGACGGTCACAAGAGCATCTCGAAGAGTTTTCAATATTTACTTCCCAAAATCATACTGTTTTCCAACTCCTAAAATAGAATGAGGAATAATAAATAAGGTCATCTCCAACGGTTTCCAACTCCGCACGGTAGACGAGTTCGGCCGCCGAGGATGGGGGACGTACTGCTACCAGGGACCCGACGCCGATGGTTGGGAGTCGATGGATCGATCGATCGAGACCACCCACAATCCCACATGCACGCATCCTGCTGGCGGATAAGGATTGAGCTAGCGCAGCGTCCCTGTCGGCCCCAGCCTCAGCTCACAGCTCGTCCGCCCGCAGCAATGCGCGTCCACGCCATCGACGGCGCACGCCTCGGACGCTCGCACACCATGCATCCATGCGCGCGGGCCTTGGCCGCCAGCGCTGCCTCAAAAGCCCGTGGATGCTTGCGGCTCGCGCGGTGCCCGCCCAGCGCCTGGAACGACGGGAACCGGCGGCTGTATGTCTCTGTGTTGCGAAGGAGGACGGGAACCAGCGCCTGGAACGACGAGAGCCATGCGTTGCGAAGGAGGAAGATCGGTGATACGCGGGGATACGGTCGGGGAAGAGCGGATGCGCGCGAGAAGGCTGCGCGCATTTTTACGCACAAAGCCGGCCCATTTACCAATTACTAAAAGATAGGAAAGGTATATGGGTAACTCTTGGAGATGAGTTTTTCTCTTTTTTTTCTAAAAAACATGGATGAGAAAGAGATATGAGAAACTCTTGGAGATGCTCTAACAGACGTACACAAAGTGACTATTGACCAAACAGTATCACATACGATACGCAACCTGCTCCAGCAATACACGTTCTGTAATTCTGATGATTGAAAGATAGCAATATGGGTGTAACGAGCTCAAGCTGTATAAGAGTATGCAATCCAAGAACAAGCAGGTGGAAGGAAGTTTTATGTGTCCAGATCTTCTTCAGAGGCGACCCTTGAGCTTCTAAAAAAGCACAGCATGAATCTGTCTCCATTCCTTCATATAGCTTCAGCTTCGAAGATCAAGTTTTCAGCTTCTTCCTCCAGCAAACAACTGCTTCCTGCAATTTTTAGTTGAAAGTTGTAACAGATACCCTAAGGGAAAAGATGATGGAACTGTCTTTGCTAGAGATGGCGTCAAAATGTTTCAAATTAAAATATGAAGAAAAAAAGAGGAGCAAAATGGTGTTGCCAGAAAGATTAAACAAAATTGATCCAGTGACATCAATGTGCTCAGTCACCACTTTAGCTCAAAATGCATATTTGGGTGGTTGTGCTATTCTTACCTACACTGTGTCTCCAAATTAACTAGGCACAATAATTGTTTTTGTATCTTGTTATACATACTCATGCTGCATTTCATACATTTATTCTTCATTTCATGGAGAAACTCAGGCGACCAGTATTTAGCTGTAAAAAGTGAGTGACAATGTGTCAGGTGATCTTTTGCGGACTCTTCTCCGCTTGTTATCAGATTGTTGGCTCATTCAGATAAAATCAAGTAATAAAATGCCTGCATTTTAAAAGGCATTTTTCTCAGGACATTTTTTGCAGAACGTCTTCCACTTGTCATGAAGTTGGTTGCTTATTAAGATTAAATCAATTAGCAAAGTGACTACATTGTAAAAGCCAAATAGTTCAAGATTACTTTCTACTATCTGACAGTGGGCCATAACATTCTCCTATACTGTATGGGTTTTAGAAGTTCGATTTTTCCTGAACAAGATTTCTATCCATATCATATTTATAATTTTTGCAATACATTCTAGAGTTTGTAGTATTCTTATGCAACATGATACGACTAGAGAACTCTTCCATTATATTTCCTTTTTTTTTTGCTGCAGCAGTATTCAGAAGAAATTTTCCATGCATTTATTAGCTAAATCAAACTAAGTACTTTATATAACCCATGATGGAGGACAGTTGATGCGAATTCAAATTCATGATAGAAAATGCACAAAATCCATGATGGAGAACAGTTGATGTGAACTCAAATTCTCAAGTCATCTAGCACTCTTTTTTTATCATACATAGTGTTGCTTAAATGTTGTTTAAAAAGTCAAAACCACAGAACGAAGCACAAATAACAATCTAGTACCCATCAGCTTTTCGCCAATGTATCCAGACAAAGATATCAGCATGAACTGAACTGGATATATTAAAACAGCAGGCAATTGCAATACGCACCTCTTTAAATGGCATCATTTGCTATGCTCAAAAGGTTTCCTGTGTACAAACCAATTCTATCACTAGACACCATCTCTGCCACATGTGTATAAGTGTTGTTCCTTGGATTATAAATCCTCAATAATCGTCTAGATCCAATATAAATAACTACACTCCCATTCTTCAGTATCACCAAAGGATGTGCACGGAATTCATCACGGACACTCAAATTGACTTGGACAGTATGTTGTTTGACCCACAAGCCCTTTTCAAAGTCCATCAGAAACCATAGGTCCATTGAAACATGTGACGTACAGTCGACCAGAACTAAGGATCCATTAAGGGCAGCCAGGGAAAGATTAGAATAGTAAGCAGGGATGCTTATAGGTCCTCGACGAATTGATCTCCACTCTTCTGTCAGCAGGTCAAAGGATGCAATGCCTTGTGGTTGATGAACATCTTGGTTGCTCACATACTCGTCCAAGAGAAAATACACAACTCCATCGACGACGGCTCTGCTCAGCGGTCTCATATCAACACGATCCTGAGCGGCCTTCTTTCCTCTCCACCGAGCATCCCTGCTGCCACCGAGTGTCAAGACCTCGCATAGCTGATGTCCAGAGGGGAATCTGTAATGGTAAATGGAGTTATCATCAATCACACGAATCAACTTGAACTCCCCCGTCGAGGCAACCTGCCCAAATGCAATGGAAACCCTATAAAATAATATTTCAAGAAGTCGAGTTTCCGTGGCGTGTTCCTGGGACAACTCTTCAGGCAGGGCAAATCTCTCTCCAGTGACTAGGTTGAGCAACTGGCAGCGCATGCTGTTCCCTTTTGCAAAGCAGGCGAGGTTGTGATGAGTGGATATCAGCATCAGCCGCTCGTCTTCTCTCGAAGTCCAGCGGATATACTTAATGACCCGGCCAGAGAGGTCTATGATGCGGCAAAGGATGCCATCAGCAAGATATGATTTGTCGTGGCCTGCGACGAAGAGCGGCCGTCGGTGACGGGTGGCATGAGCGGCGATGAACTGAGGATCGGAGAGAAGGGATCGCCACGGCCGGCAGACGACACGGAGGCGACAGAGCTCCTCGGCTGGAAGGCGGATCAGGATCTCATATATCGCGTCGATAGGTAGCACGCTTCCCCCTGTTTCTGCTTCTGTCCCGGAGCGCAGAGTCGACGACGCCATAGTCGATGCTGGTAAGTGGTAACGACCGATCTGCAATGCAATCGCCGGAGAAAAATTAAATTTTGCGCCGAACTGATTGCACGGATCCAACCAAATAACAAGAAGAGAGGTCACACACGAGAAGGAGCGGGGGTTTCGGCAACAGCAGGTAGACGACTAGAGGTTAGCTTACCAAGCAAGCGCGGTGGAACCCCCGGGATGGACCGCCGAAGATGAGCGTTAAAATCTCCCGCCGGTGGTTAGGTTAACTTGATAGCCTCTGCCGCTGCGCTGCGCTTGCCTGTTGTCTGCGGCTTCGGAATAGAAGATCTGAGTGCTTGGTGTTGATAATCAAATTTGACCCAGGTCAAGTTTTACAATGGGTCCATCCTAGTTTTAGTACAATTATAAGAAAAATTATAGTAAACGATATAAAAATAGGACCATTACTTTTTTTCTTACGTTGAACCATGTTTTTATTTATTTTCGATAGAAAAATCATAGAAAAATCATAAGACCATCTATACTGGTGAGTAGATCTACAAAGTGAATATATAACGTAATGGTTTTTTTAAGAGAAAATCCAATTTTATGCAATAATTAATTAGACATCAATAACTAAGTTATACATAGTCCAATGAGTACGAAATTATGGGACTCATAAATAATTAGCGTACCATAAAATTTTCACCACAATTGGACCATAGCCCTTTATGAATTATTGGCTTACAGATTTAGATTTTCCAATTAATCTAACATTTGGTGTATTTTTTCATTTATTTTGATTTATCTAAAAACACCAAAAATATTTCTCTTCTCTTGTGACTCTTTACTGTAAGCTAAAATAGACGGTTTTAGAAAGTTCCTTTAAAACAACAATTTGCATGGTGATTGATCGTTGTATCCTCCTTTCGTTTAAACGATATAAAAATAGGACCATTACTTTTTTTTTCTTCGTTGAACCATGTTACGCCATCTATACTCCATCCCGTGTGCTAACGTAATGATAAAATACAAAATCTATTACCACCTAAAAGGAGAGAAAATTGCAATTATAGTATACCAAACAACGCGCTTCGTAATTATGGGACTCTAAACATTGACTTCGTTAAAATGACCCTTGAAACGTTGGCTTCTTGTTTTCCATGGATGGGCAATTTATTTTTAATCTAAATACGATTTCTTTCTCTTGTGACTCTTTTGCCCTTACGCCTTTTTGCATGCGATTGATCGTTCTATCCTCGTATCGTTTAACCCTTCTCGACGCCCAACCCCCCCGCCCCGCCGCCGTTCGGCGCTCCGCCATGGATGGGCAAGAGGCGCCCTCCTCCGCCGGTGCCCTTAGACCCCAGCAGCACTCGGTTCTGAAACTGAACATTCTGAAATGAAATTTCAATTTCAAAACACGTGAACTGTGCCTTCCGCAGCATTGTCAGACACTGTTGGCGGAGCGCGGAGGACAACGCGAACTCGAGGAGGAGCCCGCCGGCACCAGCCATGGAGGAGGAGAAGACGAGAATGGAGGCGCGGGGCCGTGGATGGCGTCGTGGCCTTGCGGGTACGGGGGCTGTGCGGGCGACGGAGAGGACTCGCGAGCCCGTAACCTTAGATCGAGTGTGACAGAGATGAAACAGCAGCGATTCAGAATCAGAAGAGAAGAAAAACGCGGCGCTCTGTGACTCGGCAGCATATTCGTGTTGTCAGAGAAGGAAGACGCGATACTTCCACCTGACCTGAGTGACATTTTGGCCGTGATGCGATTCACGAATTCTGACTAACCACATGATAACTGATGACAAGCATGCCTATCACGTAAACTGAACAGCAGAACAAAACTTTTTTCTTTTCCCTTCTGAAATCGATCTGAATGTTCATATGTCGTTAACCGACAAGCATGACTATCACGTTAACTGTACATGACGGCCAGCCAGCCCAGGCAGCGGCCAGCCAGCCAAAAGCGCCCTGCACCAGCCAACCAACGTGAATGAAACGTTTCTAACAGCAGAAGGGCAAAAGGGGCATCTTAGGGACAAAATACATGTATTAAGATTCAAAAAGAGGTGAAATACACTTAATGTCACGAAAAACAAGAAGCCAACGTTTTAAGCGTCATTTTAACGAAGTCGACGATTGGAGTCCTATAATTGCGAAGCACGTTGTTTGGAGTCCTATAATTGCAATTTTCTCCCAAAAGGGTAAAAAGGGAGAGGAGGTCCTTTTTAGATTAAATCTGAACCTCCTTTCTCCATGAAAAAGATCGTGCCTTATCTCGCGCCAGAGTAAATCAAGGCGCAAATTCCTTGCTGGAACTCGTTGGGATGTTGCAGCGTAGCTGCATCCTGCATAGGCGTCAGCATGGCGTGTCCAGTTCTTCAGATCACAATGACAACCCCGCGTGAAGGTGAGCGCCGTCGTCTTCCCCTGTGGATCAGTGGATGAAGCGGCTCCAGGAAGCCCATCGGTTGGTGGACGAGGTCGCCGAAAGGGCCAAGCGGGTTGCTGAGAGGGAGTCCGTGCCACCGTCGCTGCCGCGCGAACTGCAGCGCCGGAACGCCGAGATCCGGCACGTACCGTACACATGGCTTCCCTACCACCGGTGGCCCCAAGGCCCAAGATGAAGAGGATTGTGGCCATCTCCCATCTACAATTCTACACCAGCATTCACCTCGAGCATGGACGACGCCGCCACGCTGAAGGCGCGTGCGTCGGTGAGGACACGGGTGATGTTGACGGCCGCGGGCATGTGGAACTCGGACCGTCGGATGCCGTGAGAACGAACCTAGAGTGGACGATGAGGCCGTTCACCGCCAGCACGCTAAGGTTGTACGGCACCGCGGTAATGGCGTTGAGGACGGTGGCATTCGAATCCGGGGACGGTGCCAGCAAACGGACAACGGCAAGGGAGGCGCCCACTGTGGTGATATTGACGGCGCCGAGGTCCACGGGGGCGCGGCTGGTGGTCTGGAACAGCGTGGTCACAATCTTCACGGAGGCAGGCAAGCGGCGGATGTCGGCGGGGGCAAGGAACTCGAGTAGGACGTGGAAGCGGAGAACGTCGGCGAGGTCAGCGCCCGACGCGGCCACGAATGCGAACGACGACAGCCATTGTGGGAGGTTTCCCATTCGGCACGACAAGTAGCGTCAAGGACGACCGGGCCCCTCCCCTCGGCCCCTCCACCCGGTAATTCTGTCGCCATATATTTTCCTTTTCCGATGAAAGCAGCATGTGAAATTCCTGGTCTAGTCATAGACAATAGTGGCCAGCCCATGCCCAAGTATGCGAGGCCTGAGAAGCCTAAGAAGGCCCAACAAATTTTTCGGAGAATGTTATATGCTTACATGCATGGCGGATCATGTAAATCTCTAAGCCATGTTGCTATAGATGTCGACAAAATTCATATCCACGGTGCAACATACGGGCATATATCTAGTAAGATAAAGTTTATGAAAAATAAAATGAATAATAATCATATTCATTAAGTTTCACGTTTTATACATTGTATTGTATAACTAAATATTTTTGTCACATAATGAATGCACATAACGACCGTCAGTCTCTCTCACTTATGAGTGGACCTGCTTGTTAGTCTCATGGCCTGCTTCTTCTTCCTCTCACAGCAGCTCTTCCTCTTGCCTGGGGCTCGCCGGTGGCCGAGGAGAGGAGAGACCGTGGTGGAAATCACGTCCGCACGACGGTGGCGGAGCCCGCGCATGCCCGTGAGGCTGCAACAGAGCTCCCAGAGTCGTGGAAACCGAGCCACGACGGTCGCATCCTCTAGCGTCCTCCACGCGCGTGCTCTCCCCATGTCCTCCGTGCATCCGCTACTACCGATGAGGACAACGGCTGAACTGTTCATGCGGGATGGGGAAAAGAAGGGAAAGAACGAACCGGTATGCAATAACCAGTGGCAGGTGGGTACTTTTTGCAAAAAGTTGGAAGCCTGTCAATGATGTGCATGATCTGGATGATTTTGGCCTTAGGTTCTTCAATGAGTAAGAGAAAAAGGCTTGAGAAGAGATCAGACCATTCATTTGTATGAAGTTGGATTACTTTGATACACAAATTTGGGTGGACTTAGAGTAGGCATGACTGTGGGGTGGTTGAGGGGTGGATTTATTTAGTAAAGAAATTTTTGGTGTATTATAGAGGGGGTAGGGATATAAATTTGGGGTACGTGACTTAAAGTTATTATCTTTTTCCCTAGATTTTCCAACCATTTGCTATTCAGCGCGTCGGTTAATGAGATTCGGCGGCGTTCTAGGTTGGCGCTCTCAATGAGATTCAGCGGCATTCTAGGTTGGTGCGTCTCTCGACGAGATTCGACGGTGTTCTAGGAGGCCCTGCCAACTCTATGACAACCTCCATGTGTCTCTCCCCGACAGGTCTTACTGGGAGGTGCTCTTGAGTTTTTTAGGCGAAGAACGGGCTTTAAATCGGCTCTACCGACCGACTGGATGGTCTTGCTGATCTTGGAGTTTCTTGCTATGTGATAAGTCGTGTGCGACCTTGACTGTGCTAGCCCTCGTTATCGCTGGTGTGTGATCCGATTCGGCGTGAACATATTTTTTGGCAACTTCTCTAGGGAAAAAGATGATCAATCTACTATCAAGATGCCTGAAGACAACAAGACGAGGTGATCCCATGAATCCATTCAATCCTACTAACATCATCCATCCTACAACGATCGATCAACTCTCAGAGGAATTAACTCTACAAGGCGGAGGAGGGGGAAAATGTTGCTAACCTACAAGCCGCTCTAGCAAGTTGCTCGATGGATCCGCGAGGAGATAATGTGGCCAAGTACAAAGAGCTGTTTTTTATCTCTTTTTTCAAACTGAACTAACATGACTGTTTGAGACCCATGAGTACGAGAACTTTTAGACCTTGCCTAGTGAGAGTGTTAATTTGATATTCAGTCACTTTCAATCCATTGTGAACAAGATGAGAGCCAACAAGCTACAGTACCCTCTAATGGTCATGAGAGAGCCCTCAAACTGCTACATGCCTTAGATTACCCTAT